GCTTTCAATAAATGTAGAAATAATTTGTTGAATGATGACTTTTGCTATAACCATGATAACAAAAAAAAGATAGCAAAATAGACGTTTTTTCAACGTAATGAAAGAGTTCTTGGTAAACGTAATAATTATTTGTTCATTGATGAGTTTGGCTATAACCATAATAAAAAAAAACAAGAGAGACAAAATTGACGACTTTCTGTAGTCGATGAAAGAGATCTTGATAAACGTAAATATCATTTGTTGATTGATGAGTTTGGTTACAACAATGATAAAGAAAAAAATGAGCAAAAGTGACAGTTTTCTCCAGGTTCATGAAAAAGCTTTTGATAAATGTATAAATCTTTTGCAGATGATGAGTTTGGCTATTACCATGATAACAAAAAAAAAAATAGACAGTTTTCTGTAGTCTAATGAAAGAGCTCTTGATAAACGTAGAAATCGTTTGCAGATTAACGAGTTTCGTTATAACCATTATAACGGAAAAATGGGCATAATTGATGGTTTCTGCAATCCGATGAAAGAGATCTTAATAATCGTAGAAATATTTGCTGATTGATGAGTTTGGCTATAACCATGATAATAAAAAAGGAGCAAAAGTGACGGCTTTTTGCAACGTAATGAAAGAGGTCTTGATAAACGTTAAAATTATTTGCTCATTAATGAGTTTGGCTATAACTATGATTACAAACAAGAGAAATAAAATTGACAGCTTTCTGTAGTCCGATTAATGATATCTTGATTAACGTATAAATCATATGCTGATTGATGAGTTTGGCTATAAAAATAATAACGAAAAAAATGAGCAAAATTGACAGTTTTCTGCAGGCTCATAAAAGCTCCTGATAAACGTAGAAATCATTTATCGATGATGAGTTTGGCTATATCCATGATAACAAAAAATGAAAAACCAAAATTGACGGCTTTCGCAGTGTGATGAAAGAGATCTTTGATAAACGTAGAAATCATTTGATGATTGAAGAATTTAGCTATAACCAGTCTAACAAAAAAGAGCAAAGTTGACGATTTTTGGCAGTCTGATGAAAGGTATTTTGATAAACGTAAAAATTATTGGCTGATTGAAGAGTTTTAAAAAAACCATTATAACGGTAAATTAGCGAACTTGAAAGTTTTCTGCAGCCTAACGAAAGAGCTATTGATTAACTTAGAAATTTACTGGTTGATGGTTTGGCTATAGCCATAAAAACAAATATGAGCAAAATTGACGGTTTTCTACTGTTTAATGTAAGAGGTTTTGGTAAACGTATAAATTATTTGCTGATTGATGAGTTTGGTTATAACAATGATAACAATAAAAGAGAGCAAAATAGACAGTTTTCTACAGCGTGATGAAAGAGCTATTGATAAATGTAGAAATTATTTGCCGATTGATGAGTTTGGCTATAACAACGATAACCAAAAAACAGGAGAAAAATAACGATTTTCTACGTCCTGATGAAAGAGCTTTCAATAAATGTAAAAATAATTTGTTGATTGATGACTTTGGCTATAACCATGATAACAAAAAAAAGGGAGCGAAATTGACGTTTTTTGTAACGTAATGAAAGAGCTCTTGGTAAATATAAAAATGATTTGTTCATTGACGATTTTGGCTATAACCATAATAAAAAAAAAACAAGAGAGACAAATCGATGACTTTCTGTAGTCCGATGAATGACATCTTGATAAACCTAGATATCATTTGTTGATTGATGGGTTTGGTTACAACAATGATAAAGAAAAAATGAGCAAAAGTGACAATTTTCTGCAGGTTCATGAAAAAGCTTTTGATAAACGTATAAATCTTTTGCAGATGATGAGTTTGGCTATTACCATGATAACAAAAAAAAGAAAAAATTGACGGTTTTCTGCAGTCTAATGAAAGAGCTTTTGGTAAACGTAAAAATAATTTGCTGATTAAAAAGTTTTAGTATGACTTTTATAACGAAAAATGATCAAAATTGAAGATTTTTTGCAGCCTGATGTTAAAGTTATTGATTCGCAGAGAAATCATTTGCTAATTGATGAGTTTGTGGCAATAGTAATGAGAAAAAAAAAAAAATTGACGGTTTTCTGCTGGCTATAACAATTGTAACAATAAAAAAGAACAAAATAGATACTTTTCTATAACCTAATGAAAGAGTTCTTGATAAATGTAGAAATTATTTGTTGATTTATGTGTTTGGCTATAACCATGATAACAAAAAAATGAGCAAAATTGACGGTTTTTTGCAGCCATATGAAAGAATTGTTATTAAACGTAATAATCACTTTCTGATTTATGATTTTGGCTATAACTATAATTAGAAAAAAAAACAAAAGGAGCAAAGTTGATGGTTTTCTGAAGTCTGATGAAAGAGTTCTTGATAAGCGTATAAATCATTTATTGAAGATGAGTTTGGCTATAACAAAGATAACAAAAAACATGAGTAAAATAACGATTTTCTGGAGTCTAATGAAAGAGCTTTTGATAAATGTAGAAATCATTTGTTGACTGATGAGTTTTTGATAATTATGTTGAATCCGGATCTCAGTATTACCAATGAGATGCTTTGTTGGTAATTACTTTTTTTTTTTTTTTGTCGTCCACAATCAAAACTCTAAAATTTTCGACGGAACGTTAACTGATTCTGATGTTATAAACCGGGTGTCAGGAATCCTGAAAACGACGAAGTACCTATCGTCACATGCAAAGAGAATGCTATAAAATGATGACGTTCGTTGTTTTCTTATTGTCTTGAAATTTTTGTTTTTTGTTTTTTTTTTATGATTAGCATCTTATTTTCTTACCATTTATAATATTTATTTATCTCTCATGATTTTACCGTTTATGCACGATAACTTACACCATTTGTATATATTATTATTATGGTATTGATAATAGAGTGATATATTTTTATCCTTCGTTAGTATATATTTCAGTTTAACTTTTGAGATTTAGTTTCTTTTTTTCTAAACTTAATTTATTAATCTTACGGATAAATTCTATATCGTTTAATCAATATTCGTTTTTGTTAATTTTCTGATTTAGTTTTTAATATATATTTTCCATTGTTATGTTCTTTCCAAATAATCGTTAGGTCTACATATACGTATCGCGCGTTTATACCTTATTGGATTGTTTAGCCGAGTAATCTTTTGATATGGGTTCTACAATGATACTTTTTACCTCTGATTCATGTGATGGTGGTTATTATCATATTGCGTCTCTTAACCCTAACATGGGTGAGTGGTCTGTTTCGGTGAAGATTTTGAATTGTTGGTCTAATTCGCGTGGCTCGGGTAGAGAGCTCAATATGATTTTGGGTGACGAGCATGTTAGTATTTTAATAACTTACCTTTTATACATGTTTTCGATATTAAATTGAATTGATTTTGTCTTTAACAATTTACCTCAGTATTACCTACGAGATGCTTTGTTGGTAAGTATTTTTTGTTTTTTTCCCGTTTACAATCAAAACTCTAAAGTTGGCGACTGAACATTCACTGTTTATGGTGTTCCAAATCGGATGTCAGGAATCCTGAAAACGACCAAGTACCTATCATCACACACAAGGAGAATGCCATGGAGTGATGATGTTCGTTGATTTCTTATTTTCTTGGTGAATGGTTTTAAAAGATGATTTACTATTATTTTCTTAGCATTTATAATATTTTTGAATTTTTTAAATTTCATCATTTTCCATATTTTTACCACACTAAACCCTAAACAATTTACCATAATGATACAGAGAGATCTAGATTATAAAGTAAAACGTCTGAAAAGAAGCAACCACTCACCTCTGAATCATCTATCCTACCAAGAAGACGTGGTCCTAACTGCCTCCCAAAACAATCTGAAGCAAAAAATAAATAAAGCAAGAAACTTTCATTAGCTCATTACATAACCATGAAAATATGAGCTCAAGACTTCATACTATGATACAATTGAAGCTCAACTGATACATATTCATGGATACCAAACAAGAAAATTTCAAATGGCGAAACTTTATTGACTTAACCCTTACACTACCAAGTAACACCTAAACAATTCCTTATTTCACATGATTTTACCATTCACACAACATTATTCCCGCGCATTTGCGCGGGCAATCACCTAGTAATCATAAAATGCATAAAAAAATTTAACTTCTATACTAGTATAATCGCAGCACTTTTTGTGACGGGTGGGTAAAAAAGCTTTCGGGTATATCGGATATCCGACCCATTTTAAAAATTTCTTCACAAAAAATTTGTTGGGTCGGGTTATATTTAACCCAACTCATACACCGGATATTCCATATTTAATAATTTAGATTTTTAGAAGATTTGATTAAGATTTATAATTATGATTCTCCTATCATCTTTGTTTGATTTGTTTTTAACTGTTTTGAATCATCATATAATACATAAAGTAAAAAAAAAAATCAATTTTTTTTCTGCATATACTGTGATTCGAAATTTTAAAAACGGACATATATTATCCAATTGACGAAAATGTGTGTTCAACGTTCTACATCGATTAAAATATTTAGACAATGATTCAGAATCATATCATAAATAAGAACATTAATAAAATAAATGAGTTTTTTGGCGGGATGGGTTTGGCGGGACGGGTTTTTGAATCAACAATAATAAAAAGATTAAAATATCATTAATCCGCCGCTTCAATACGGATTTAATCCTTATTTTTTTTAATACAAATCACAGGACGGGTTAAGAAATTACGGAACGGGTTATATTTCGGAAATGATTTATATGGCGGACGAATTTGAATCAATATTTATATACCGCTTTAATACGGGTTAAATCCTCAGTTTATTAATAATTATCTCGTGGACTCGTGGTATACCGTTACTTAATAACAATTGTAAACTATAATATAAATAAATATGTTATAAAGAGATACAATTTACAAAATATTTTTATACTAACTTTAAAATTAAATCATCCCGCGGTGTACCGCGGGTTAAAATCTAGTTTTTTTAGTATAAATCAAACTTTATCTTCATTATAATCAATTAATCAACGACGACGTTTCGAAGCGTGTCATAAGATTATCAAGTTAACAAAACTCAGGCGAGAGAGAGAGAGAGAGATCAGAAAACGGAAGAGAAGAATAAACCAGTGATGAATGAGACTATTCTCTTCTCTGATCATCACTCATTGATCGGATTTGCATTTTTGATTCTCGAGTTCTGAATCATCCAATTGGATCAGATTTTTGATTCGACGTTCTCCGGTATTGATTTCGGTGATCGGAGAATTTCGCCATGTCGTGGGGATTAGGATGGAAGAGATCATCGGAGAGTTTCCGTTTGAGTCTCAGTTATGGCGCCGATTATCTAAACGACGATCCGATTCAATCACCGTCTGCTTCACCATTCGGATCTCCAACTTCGATGTCTTCGTCGTGTTCTTCTCCATCCGCGGTGGAGGATCCTGAATTAGGGTTCCGTATTGATTTAGATTGGACGGCAGGCGATTCGGAGGATCAGGTAGCGTTGCGATTGGAATCGCAGTTAATGGTGGCTTTACCTGCACCGCATGATACAGTGGTGGTTGAATTGAAGGGAATTGGAGATGACGTTGAAGGTGGTGGAGAGAATGTTGGATTAGAGATGAGAGTTGAGAAACGTAGGGAGCCTTTGCGAGCAGTTACATTGATGAAAGCGGTTGGTTCTGGCCAGCAGTATGATGGTGTAGGCGTTTTGACTAGGCTAATGCGGTCGGATATGATGCCTGCAGCCATTCCTGCGCCGGCTATCGATGTTGCGTCATCTTGTGGGGTGCATTGGAAGACTGTGACTTCGTTGAGTCTATCTGGTTGTGGTTTATTGGTATGTTTCTTTAACATTTCTTGAATCCAAGGAAGAAAGTGGTGAAAAGCATCAAACTTTGATTAGGAAATGTCGTATAGATAATTCTTGAATGTAATTTTATCAATAGGCTCGTTTTTGTTTGACATGGTACAGCTTTTGAACATAGGAGATATTCTTTTCAAAAATTGGGTTATGCTGTTCCGTTTTAATGCTTTGCAATGTTGGGCAGGTAATGCCAGTTGAAGTGACTGAGTTACCTCTGCTTGAGAAGCTATGTCTTGAGCACAATAAATTGTCAGTTTTGCCACCTGAGATAGGGAAGCTGAAAAACCTTAAGATACTTAGAGTTGACAATAACATGCTTATTTCTGTGCCAGGTGAGTGTAACCTGACAATTCCTTATACTTGTTAATCACATAACAGAAAAACATGTTGGAACTGATGTTGGTTGAAACTCTTGTGCAGTGGAACTAAGACAGTGTGTGGGTCTTGTTGAATTGTCGTTGGAACACAATAAACTTGTCCGGCCTCTTCTTGATTTCAGGTCATTGTTGCAGAGAGCTGGTATTACTGCTTTCCTTTATTCTTGAATTTAGTACGAGGCTGATTAGTTATTCGATTGAAATGCAGGGCGATGTCTGGGCTACGAATACTACGGCTTTTTGGTAATCCTCTTGAATTCCTTCCAGAAATTTTACCCTTGCATCAGCTTCGTCACTTGTCTCTTGTAAATATCAGAATTGTGTCTGATGAGAATCTAAGATCAGTAAATGTACAGATTGAGGTAAGAAGGAAACTCATCGCACAATATTCTGCTACTTTTCATTCTCTAGATCATTAAGTTTTATTCTAAGGGTGAATTTTCATGATGCCAGACAGAAAACACTTCATATTTTGGGGCATCTAGGCACAAGCTAAGTGCCTTCTCTCCCCTTATATTCCGTTCTTCGTCTTGTCATCATCCTCTTCTAGCATCTACATTGGTGAAAATAATGCAAGATGAAGGAAACCGTTCTGTTATTGGTAAAGATGAAAATGCGGTGAGGCAGCTTATAAGTATGATAACTAGTGACAATCGCCACGTGGTATGTTGGTTTTTTGTTCTATGCTATGGGTTGAAAAAAAAAACTATACTTTCTTTTGGGAACAATCACCATAACTACAGGTTTGATAGGTTGAGCAAGCTTGTGTTGCTTTATCATCTCTCGCTCGAGATGTTGGCGTAGCAATGCAGCTGATGAAGTGTGATATTATGAAACCAACTGAAACTGTTCTGAAATCTTCGGCCCCGGACGAAGTTATATCCGTTTTACAAGTCGTGGTCACCTTAGCTTTTGTATCTGATTCCGTTTCTCAGAAGATGCTCACCAAGGATATGCTGAAAGCCTTAAAATCCTTGTGTGCCCACAAGAATCCTGAAGTAAGATAGCTTCATTTTTACCCTCCTAATAAGAAAACGCTATAGCTTCTTTGACTGAGTATCCTTTCCTTTAGGTTCAAAGACAAGCCTTATTAGCAGTTGGGAACTTGGCCTTCTGTTTAGAAAACCGTCGTATTCTGATTACTTCAGAGAGCTTGAGGGAGTTATTGATGCGGTTAACTGTTACACCTGAACCACGAGTCAACAAAGCTGCGGCTAGAGCTTTGGCAATTCTTGGTGTGTTTCTTGTATATCAAATCTTCATTTTTGCTTGATACTCCAGTTGGGCATTACATACAACGCTTTTCTTCTGATGACAGGCGAAAATGAAATTCTGCGACGTTCCATAAAAGGCAGGCAAGTACCAAAACAGGGACTGCGGATTCTCACCATGGATGGAGGTGGAATGAAAGGTCTTGCAACGGTGCAGATTCTTAAGGAGATTGAAAAGGGAAGTGGCAAGCCTATACATGAACTATTCGACCTTATATGTGGCACATCAACAGGAGGAATGCTAGCTATTGCCCTTGGTGTCAAGCTTATGACACTGGAACAATGTGAAGAAATTTACAAGAATCTAGGTGTGTAGAATTCCCTTTGAGCTCTACAGCTTCTTTGACTTATTGGTTCCGGACTTTACTTAGGATGATTTTTCTTTAGGAAAGCTTGTTTTTGCTGAATCTGTCCCAAAGGACAATGAAGCTGCAAGTTGGCGGGAAAAGTTGGATCAGCTATATAAAAGTTCATCGCAAAGTTTCAGAGTTGTTATCCATGGATCTAAGGTATATACAACTTTGTTGGTCTATTAACGGTTGATTTCTTCTGTAGCGACATAATATCAAAGAGCTAGACTTTGTGGTTATGGTTTTAAGGAATTATCATTTTGATGGTATTTAGCGTCTTGGATTTTTAACGTAAGAATTCCAAAAAAAAAGATGTCCACTAAGGATTGTAAAAAGATATGCTTGTAGAAAACCGAATAGCTCTTGTTGGTTCCCACATAACTTGGAATCAGGATTTATAATGTACTGTCTTGCAGCACAGTGCAAACGAGTTCGAGAGACTGTTAAAGGAAATGTGTGCTGATGAGGATGGAGATCTACTAATAGAATCAGCTGTGAAGAATGTTCCAAAAGTCTTTGTTGTATCTACTCTTGTTAGTGTGATGCCTGCGCAACCATTTATATTTCGGAACTACCAGGTACAACACTTCACTCTTTTACGTTTGGTTAATTCTTTCTTCTCTGTTAATTGGCTTTGAATGTGTTTACCACTTTAAATTCTCCCATCTATACTTCTCGTGTATCATGTGCTCTCTTTTCTATTTGCAGTATCCTGTTGGAACACCGGAGATGTCATATGCATTTTCAGATCATTCAGGCGGCAGTACACTAACTTCATCAACTGCCAGTGATCAAGCTGGCTACTACAAGCAAAGTGCTTTTATGGGAAGTTGTAAGCATCAGGTTTGGCAAGCGATACGAGCATCATCAGCTGCTCCATATTATCTTGATGATTTTTCAGTTGGTACAAGTCTACCTTCTCTATTCTCTATACTTATCCATGAAACTTTGTGGTAAGCTTTTACACTGATATTATCTTTTTTCCTTTCTAAATCACTTAAGACTCATATCGCTGGCAAGATGGTGCAATAGTGGCAAACAATCCTACAATCTTTGCCATCAGAGAAGCACAACTTCTATGGCCTGACACAAAAATTGATTGCTTGGTTTCGGTTGGCTCTGGCTCTGTACCAACAAGGGTAATTCCCGTTTTTCCTCTTTACTTGTGGAATATATTTGTTGGATTTTTGGCTCCAAATGGCAGTCACAAATGGTCAAATTGTGGAAAATCTTTGTTTATATTGGAAAACCACTGAAATTCATATGGTGAATAAAGCTTGCCGTCCTTGTAATATTAAGTAATTATGTGTCAATGTTGATCTAACTCCTTTGTAGCCACGGAAAGGTGGATGGCGTTATTTAGATACTGGGCAAGTACTGATTGAGAGTGCATGCTCAGTGGAACGGGTTGAAGAAGCTCTAAGCACATTGCTCCCTATGTTGCCAGAAATACAATATTTTCGGTTCAACCCAGGTAACAAACAGCATTTTACAACATGCAAGAACACTCTATCCTCTTGAACACCTAGGAAACCTTGAATTTCTAATCCATGCCTATTATCATAATGTATAAGTGTTTTGACGTAGAATCTAGTTAAGCCTTTACATATCTGGTCTATGCAGTTGATGATCGCTGCGGAATGGAGTTGGATGAGACTGATCCAGCGATCTGGCTAAAATTGGAAGCTGCGATTGAAGAATTCATACAAAGCAATTCCCAAGTATTTAAAAACGCATGCGAGAGATTAACACTCCCCTTCCTAAACGATGAGAAATGGTGTGAGAATTTGAAACCACAGTTTATGAATGGAAAGCTACCAAATAGCAGAGGTATCTGTTTCAAAATTATTTGCTTTTCAGAAAACCTTTTCAAACTCAGAAAACCTTCTCAAACTGTTAGCTCAGTAACTTATATCATTTTTCTTTCATTCCTAAACAGTAGAGAGCAGTCCTTCTCTAGGATGGAGACGCAATGTTTTGCTTATGGAGGCTCAGCATAGTCCTGACTCAGGGAGAGTAAAGTATCATGCTCGTGCGCTTGAGTCATTTTGTTCGAATAATGGAATAAAGTTATCCTCATTACATACTACTGCTACTCCTGGATGCCCGAAACCATCTCCAGGGACTGCTTTTCCCACTCCATTTACCTCTCCTCTTATATCTGGAAGCTTGCCTCCGAGCCCCCTTCTCTTCACTCCTGATCTTGGCCCACAAAAGTTCAATAGGATTGATATGGTTCCGCCACTTAGCTTGGATGGGGGTCATGGTGGAAAGACGGTTATGTCGCCTCCATCATCTCCTCCACGACAAAGACAACTCTATCTTCCATTACGACAGATGCATGAAAAGTTACAGAATTTACCCCAAGTGGGGATCATACATCTCTCACTTCAAAATGATTCTAATGGTTCAATACTGAGGTTAGTCCAAACTTTTCAATTTCGACCATATCACTTTCAGGTCTAAAAAAGTTGATTCTAGTTAATTGATTACATTTGCTTTCTGGTTTCATTTAGTTGGCAAAATGATGTATTTGTGGTTGCTGAACCTGGAGATCTCGCTGATAAGTTTCTCCAAAGCGTCAAAGTCAGTATATTGTCAGTCATGCAAAGTAATCGCCGAAAGGCTGCATCAGTTCTTTCCAATATCTACTCAATCTCGGATTTGGTGCGTAGCAAGAAATGCTTCCAGGTTGGAAATATCATCCACCGTTATATCGGACGCCAAACCCTAGTAAGGATATTTTTCATATTAACTTCTTTGTGGTGTTAGTGTTATAGAGTTGGAAGGTTTATTTTGTTTTTTTATGTTACTTGTAAAGGTGATGGAAGATGATCAAGAAATCGCATCATTTATGTTCCGCAGAACTGTCCCTTCGGCACACTTGACTCCTGATGATATTCGCTGGATGGTAATGTCACTTGACTTTTGTACACCCAAAATCTCTCTGCTAGTTTCATGTTCACATTTTTTCACTCTCGCATACCTTAAAAGGCTAGCTTCTAAGGCTCAGTTTGGTTGATGGTTACAAAACTCAAACCGTAAAAGCTAGTGATAAGCACAAGGCTGATAAGAGGGAGGCCACATGTTCTTTTTTCACGTTAAGCTAGCTTGTAAGCAAAATTTTGTCTTATGCCTTTGAACATATTATCTGATCAGGTGGGAGCATGGAGAGATAGGATAATAGTCTTCTCAGGAACATTTGGACCAACACAAGCTGTCGTTAAAGCCTTTTTGGACTCTGGTGCAAAAGCTGTGATTGGTCCATCAAACGAGCCACTAGAGACACCACTAATCACATCCCAAGGCTCATCTGAATACAACATTGGAGATCAGAACGGAAAGTTTGAGATTGGAGAAGAAGAAGACGAAGAAGAAGAAGGGAACGAGGAAATGGAAAGGGAAGAGATGGAACCACCGACACCGACAAGTGACTGGGAAGATAGCGACCACGAGAAAACAAACAGAGACGATAAGTGTTGTGGTCTTTGGGAAGATGATGAAGAAGAAGTGTCTGAGTTTGTTTGCCAGTTATATGATCAGTTGTTCAGAGAGAATTCAAGAGTTGATGTTGCTCTTCAAAAAGCTCTTGCCTCTCATCGAAAGCTCAGGTACACTTGCCATCTTCCTAATGTATAGAAAGACAAAAATACATATTTTTATACCTTTTTTGACTCGTGGGAGAGGAAAAAATTGAGAGAGAAAAAGAAAAAACAATATCAAAGTTTTGTTCGTTTTCTGCAAATAAAAGTATCAAATAAGTTTATTGCTTTTGAAACATTTAAGCGGTATGAGAAAGATATTGTTACAATTTTCTTAGCGAAATCTAGTTTCGATTATAAGATTAAAAAAAAAAAAAAAAAAAAACTCTTTTTCATGGCGTATAGCAATAGACAGTCACAGCTCACAGTGAAACAGATTTGATTACTGATGACAAATTCGGGAACGGAATAGGTTCAAAAATTATGGAATGTAAATAAAAGAAATCAACAAAAAAAATTTAGTATGAGATTAATAATGTGATTCACAGATGATGCGATCTCTCCAATGCCAAATTACACCATATTACAAAGAATTGTTTGCATCCGATTGACCTCGAACTCTAACCCTAATTACTTTTCTTGGGGTTTACGTTAAAAGAAAAAAAAATGATTTAAAGGATTGAAAAAAAAAAGTTTAGTTTTATGAATCAGATGATGATGTCTGAGTAGCAGAGGCGGCAGGAGTAGTATTAGTGTTATCAACAACCTCTATAGGCTTAGCCAAGAACTCAAGTGCTGTGACCACATCTCCCATCAATGGCCTAGTCTCTGCTTCTTCTTGCAAACACATTGCTGCAATCGCGAGAGCTTGATGCAACCCTTTTACTGGGTAATTCCCTTCTAGATTTGGATCCACAATCTGTGCAAACATCCTTCTATCTTTCAACAACGGTTCCGCCTGCAAAAAAAAAAAAAAGACTTTAATAAGTTTCTTCCTTCTCAAGCAATAACAAAAACATGTTAACAAGACTCTTGCTTGATAAAGTACCCAAGAGATCAAGTTTTGTTCTTCGGTTGGTCTATCGCCATCAATAGCTCGTCTCCCAGAAATGATCTCAAGGAGGACAACACCGAAGCTGTAAACATCGGATTTAGCAGTGAGTTGACCGGTCATCGCGTATTCAGGAGCACAGTATCCGTATGTTCCCATGACTCTTGTGGACACATGATCTTTGCCTTCAGTTGGTCCAAGCCTAGCTAACCCAAAATCTGATAGCTTTGAGTTGAAATCAGATTGTAACAATATGTTTGAAGCTTTGAAATCGCGGTAGATCACAGGAGGATCTGCGTAGTCATGCAAGTACTCGAGCCCTTTAGCTGCACCGTGCACTATCCGCATTCTCGTATACCAGTCTAGACTTGGTGCCCCTTCTGGTAAGTCTATACAGTAAATAGAGATTAAAACATTAGATTATTAACCAAATGCTTGACGTTGATGATATAATAATGAAAAAGGTCACAGATTTTACCGAACAAATGATCTTCCAAAGATCCGTTGGGCATGAATTCGTAAACGAGGACTCGTTGGTCGTCTTCCACGCAATAGCCAATGAGATTGACAAGGTTTGGATGTTGAGCCAAACTCAATACCATCACTTCTGCAAAGAACTCTCTTGTTCCTTGCAATCCATTCCTATCAAGCCTCTTTACAGCCACCACCTAAACTTCTCATCATTCAATCAAACAAAAATTAGCAACTTTTCGCCAAATTCGCACACTTATATAAGATGATTGAGATATTGAAAAAGGACCTGATTGAGGCTGCTGAGGAACCCTTTGTAGACTCTTCCGAAACCGCCTTCTCCAATCATACAATCCATGCTGAAATTATCGGTTGCAGCTATTAGTTCCTTGAATTTGAAGATTCGACCGCAGTTCTTCATGTTCCCATACTTCTTTATCTCCTCTGTTATATACTTCTGCCTGCAGCTTCCTGCATTTATCAATGTTCAAAAACATTTTCAGAAACCAAATGATATGATCATATCTTTGAGAAAGATTGATTTAGACGAAGAAGAGACAACATTTACGAGTACCTTTTCGGTGTGAGCGAAATGTGAACAGAGCAAAAAGTTTACGGCTATGGCCTCTATAAGCTGTAAGACCTTCATCAAATGAATCTCTAGGCGAATTAGGTCCAAGTTGTTGCGGGTTGATGAAACAAGGACAAAGCTTCATCATTTTTCTTCTTCCTTCCTCTGTTTCTTTTTTTTTCTTTTGTGTTCTTGATCTTCAGACAAAAACAAACACTTTGAAATGAATCCCCCAAGGAAAGATTCGATCTTGTCTCTCTTACCGATCCTTTCAGATCCAAACCCTGTCTGGGCAAAACGAATCTGAAAGAAAGATCAGATCTTTCCCAGGAAAATGATGTTGCATGACACGAGAATTTGGGGGAGGATCACAAAGTTTTGCTGTCTCTTATTGTTATATATGAATGTTTCCATGTTTGGATCTCTCAAATTTGGATAAAAGGATTATTCTTCTTTTTCTTATTTTTAGGGTTTTCTTCTCTGTTCGTGAATAAGCCAACGCGTCTCTCTCTCTTTTAACAAACTTCCAATCAAATCTTTACTCAAAACACATAAGTTCGTGCTAAGCATGTAGAGATTAAACTTCTTTGTATATTACATAGTTATCATACTATATAATATAAACATACGAAGACAAAGTGTTGACCATTAAGACAGGCTAAAATTGCTTCAATGCTATGACCAATCTTACAGATAAAATGCTTAAGATCTCTCTGATTCCGAAACCAAAAACTAACAAGATAAACCTAACATGGACCATGATGATTCAAAAGATTACTATCGTCTACGAAGAAGCTAGAAACTTATTTCATTGCTGACAAATGAAGTGAGAAAATTCATAAAATTTGAAAATACAGATCTCGGGAACAAACCCGTAAATATCTTTTGATTCATTGAGGCAATGCGGCTTCGACTTCATTCCACAACTCGACGTTTCTAGTGAACTTCTCTTTTACTTGCCCAATGAGCTCCTTTGCTTCTTCGACTTTCGAATCTTTAGCTAGTCCGTTAACAAGCGACTTCATGATACTAAAACTCGGAACCCAATTCTTCTCCATACTCTCTTTACAAAGAACCAAAGCCGTCTCAAAGTCTCCTCCTTTGCACAAGTAATATATAAGAGTGAAGTAACACTCACTATCAGGCTTACATCCTCTGTTCACCATAACCTTAAACAACTTCTTCGCTTCCTCGAAATCATCTTCATTGCAAAACCCACGAATCAAATGGCTATAAGTAACCGTATTCGGTTTCATCCCTGCAGATAACATCCCATCAAGCAAAGCTTTTGCTTCCTTAGATTTCTTCCTCTTACACAAACTCTGAATCCTAATGTTGTAAGTCGAAACACCGATATTAACACCGCGATCTTTCATCATCGCCAACACTTTCCCTACTTCATCATTCTTATCCTCTGAATAAAACCCAGAAATCATCAAACCAAAGCTAGAACTATTCGGCTTTATCCCTTTCCTCTCCATCTCCGCAACAATGGAGTACGCCGAACTCGCTGAACCGGATTCACAGAACACTTTGATCATACGATTATAAGTCTCAAGATCAGGCTCAATCCCATACATCTTAGGCATCTCAATGTAAACTCTTTTAGCTTCTTTGTAATCCTTAGCTACTAAACAAGCAAAGAGAAGAGCGTTTAAAGACTTCACCGTACGAGGGATTTCAAATTTCTCAAGATCACGAAAAACCCTTAAAGAGTGATCAAGCATATTCGCTTGAGCATACAAAACAATAGCGTGAGCAGCGAAACGCTCCGATTTAAGATCCGGTCGATTTTCGATGAATCCATCGAGAAGATTCGATACAGCGGAGAAATGTTTCTTCTCGGCGAGATTCTCAACGGCGGCGGAGAAAGCGATTCGATCAATGTGACAATCTGGAGTAAGAGAAGCTGCACGGCAGATTTCGAGGATACGATCTGGATCTTTCTCGGATTTGAGAAGAGAAAGAGCTGCTTTGCTTTTCTCTTTGCTAGTGAGAGGAGTTTTTGAATCTGGTGAGAGGATTGTTGAAGCGGAGGAGAGTGATCGGATTTGTGGTGATGCGTTGAGGTGACGGAAGAGAGAGGTTGATGAACGGATTCGAGAGAGTAACGCCATTGTTGTTTTCTTAGGGTTTTAGATTGTTGAAGAAGAAGAAGAAGAAGACTGTGGAATGGAGAAGAAGACGGAGATTGAAGAATTAGGGTTTTTGTTTGTGTAAATCTAATCGTAGCCGTTGATGGGTTTTTTTTAAAAGTCATTATAATGGACGGTTGAGATGAGGTTGTGATGAAGACAAAAATTATTTTGTAAAAAGAGATTCCGGAATTTTGTTCGGGGGATTGAACCCGACGTGAATCGAACACGCAACCTTCTGATCTGGAGTCAGACGCGCTACCATTGCGCCACGGATCCGGTTGAGAGTAGGCATTCAAAATTATTTATATTCGAAAATAAAAATTGTATTAGTCTTTTTCCGTAATTGTGATACTCGAATTTGAGATTTTAATAATTATTTATATAAAAAAGCATGTTTTTTTGGTCATTGTCGAAAAAAAAGTTATAATTTGAGGTAATTTATTTTTGTACAAAACCATCATTGGACTTTTTTCAGATGTTCTTGAAAAACTTGGTTTTTTGGGGACACTTACAAACATATCTTCTCCAACATGCTTTAGTAATAAGACATTATCTCGATCAAATCTTGAACAAATGATGTAAGAAAAAATGGGGTTTTTTTTTTTAAATGCCGGAAAAATGTATATATATTAAGATAAGAAGGAGGATCTTCCATGACATGGGGGAGATCAAAGTTGGATGCCTTTAAGGTTGGGGTACTTGGAGACAATCATTTTGAGAGTAGCACTTAGGAAAGTTCAATGGCCTCAAAATCTCTCACTCATAGGTCCTTAGTGAGTTTTTCTCCTTAGTTAATGACAGTTGATATTATGGTGATTGGTGAGTTTCTTGAACTAGAACTTGTTTGTTAACGCATGTTGATTATTTAATTTGTAAAGGAAAGTTTAGCAAAACTGGATAATCAACAGAAGGGGATTAGTGATTAGTTAGTATTGCAAGCTCTATGATTGCACCTAATTCTTTATATCAGATTTGATATTGTACATTGCCTACCTATGTTGAACTATCATGATCCAATGTTTTCAATTCTTGAATTTGAACTGTTTTCTTAATTTGACTTGTTTAGCCTTTCATGTACATGTCTTTGTTAGTTTTACTTAGAAACTCAAAAACAATTTCTCTTTACATTTTAGACTAGTCTTTGAAATTTCTAGTTTTTATCGTATTCGATCCTATACTACGGATCGGACCACATATTTGACAGCTTAAATATATCGAATTAAAACTTGGCTATCTACGGTTGGATTCATTTAATTTGGAAAAGTGATTGGACCACTGTATTTGGTCCTAACTCCTACTAATAAGACAGTGGAAAGATACCCTATCTAGTCACTCTCTTTAATACTATGAAAAATAACCACTCTTACACTGAAATATGTTGATTATAAACTTTCAAATTTCCTTCAAACGAAAAAAAACAAAAACAAAACAATCCACATTTGTTCCCATTATAAACTCCCACAACACCAAGAAAAAAAATCAAATTTCCAAGTCATTAATTAACAAAGCGACATACATTTTTCGATTGAAAAACGAGAGTTTAACAATTGAATCTGCATCTTACAAGTGATCCTCTATCGCCAATTTTGGGGAAAACAAAAATTTTGATTTCAATCTGACCTCAAAACTCCCAAAAGAAACAAAAATAAATAAATCATTTTATTTTATTTATTTATTGCTTCAAAAGCGGCTCACGGCTCTCTTCCCACTGGTCCAATCTGCTCGAAGCTTTTTCAACCTAAATTACAAAATTAGTTTTAATTAATACCACAATTCATTGAATCTACCTAAAATCATACAAAGTTTTGTGCCTAAAACTTTTCATTACAAAACCTAAAACTGCTTTTAGTTTTAAAAAGAAATTAATTTACCTCTTTGTCCCAATCAGTTCTTAAAGTGACAATCACTAAGATTATTGTTTGCATTAATGTACCACCAATCATCCCTGTCCATATTCCCTGCAACATATCATACACAAACATTAAATATTACAGCTATTATGATTTAATATGGTACAATTATTGTAACCAAATTTACATGAGATTTTTATTATTATTTACCTTAGCTCCCATATCATAAGTGAAGCCAAGAACGAATCCCACTGGTATCCCCACAACGTAGTAACATCCAATGTTTACGTACGCAACAAATGCTTGCCATCCACATCCAACAGCCACACCTAAATTTTTGTACATCAAATTAAATTCAGTTTTTAATACTTTTATTATGATTTGATGTGAAATATGTGGGTTTCTTTGTACCGGACAAAACTGGCTGAATTCCATTGAGGACAATTGTGATGGCTAAAAAGGGAGATAAATCCGCAACGGCCTCAGCCACTGCAGGACTATCTGTAAACGCATAGCTGATGACATTACGCCATGATAAGACCACGATAGCTTCAAAAATCGATAGTAAGAATGATACTCCAGTCGTTACTACCGTGGAGAACGCGGCTGCTCTCGGGTTTCCGGCTCCTAGCTCATTGCTTACTCTCACACTATACATAAATTGAAAAAAATGTAATGTTAGTAAACCATAAGAAACAAAAAAAAAAAAGATTATTTATATTTTGTAGTGAATAATATTAATTTTGTCACCAACCTTGCAGCTGCGTTGAATCCAACGGAGACCATGAATGAGATTGCAGAAATTGACATGCTGCAAAAACAAAAATTTCAATTTTTGACAACTGGTTTGTGCAAATGTGTAATGGAAACGACACAGTTAAAAATCTAACAAAAAGACAAAGTGACGACAAAAACTTATAGATCTTCTACTGAAAATGAAAAAGACTTAACGAGGTGAGGAGTCGTCATTTTCGACTCTTCTTCAGAAAAAAATGAAATCATAAAGCAATTTAAATTCTTAACCACTACGATAATTACATTTGTGTCACATCATAATACGACATATTATTTGTTCCTTGTCAGATTATATCAAACATGGAAATAACCAAATTTACAGCTAATTTTCATGGACAATTTTACATGAAAATCAAATTTCTCTTTCTACAATTTATATTATTACGTCTCAAAAGGTAAGAAATCAAATTGTATTTAATGAAAATGGTTAAATAATTAACCACTACACTAATTAAATTTGACTCACCATAATACGACAAACTATAGTATTATTTTCTTTCTCTAAAGATGCTAACAAATTATTTGTCATCATTGCAAATTGTTTTTAAAAATGGAAATTCTTTAAAAAAAGATTCACTTTATGACTTTAACAGCAAACTTTCCTGCTAAATTTCATGAACACTTTTACTAGATTTTAACGTTACTCAAATTTATTTCTCTTTTTGCAGATTTATGTCCTTATGTTAGTACGTCTCAAAAGGTAAAAAATCAAACTACTTTTAATGAAAAAAAATAATTAGAAGTTTGAAAAAATTTACCAGATAGCGAGAGAATCCAGAGCAAGTTCAGGGTTCTTGAGAAGTCCAGCGAGCAAAACAAGAATCTGAGAGTACCAAGATTCAAGGCAAAGCATGACGGCAGAAGCAGCCGATAATCGGAAAAAATCCCAAAGACCTTCAAAAGCTTTCCAACTAAAACCTTCCCAAGTCCGACGACATCTCGGACTCATTTTAATATAAACAATCTGAGCCACAACAATGATCCACCAAGAGAAGCTATGGATCAAAGATAAAGCCAAAAGACCATAACCAAGACGATACACAGCGATCCACGAAAGAACGAGATGGATCACAAGTGTTGCGGCGGATATATAAGCGCTTGGAGTGACAATGCTTTGCGATTGGAGAAACTTTTGGATAGGGAAATTGATTGCGTAAGCGAAGATCACTGGGATCATACCGTAGACGAATACGGAAGCTAATGTTGCCACTTGTTCTGGCTCTCCAAGTGAAGTAAGGATTGGATTTGAGAAGAGGAAGAGAAGTGACATTGGTATACATGTTAGGATTAGAACCACTGTTGATCTTTGGAGGTAAACACCGAGCATTTCGTATCGATGTGCTCCATGTGCTTGACCACATAATGTTTCCACTGCACTTCCCATTCCAAGCTATATCACCGGATAAAATAAATCGATTAGAATTAGGATTTTATTCAAATTTCAAGAAATTTTCTCTGTTTTTTCAACTGATCAAGGAAAAAATGTTGAAACCGGTTAGATTTTAGTCAAATTTTCAGTAATTTTTCTACGTTGAATGTAAAATTTATTCAAAAAAAAAAAAACCGTTTTTACATCAAGTGCTACTTCTAATTGAAATTTTTGTTTAAAAAAATTAGTTAGATGCGAAATAGATTATGAACTCGTTGAAAATAGGTTAGATTTAGAGAAACATAGAAGTTTTTATCAAAACTTAAAAAAACTTTTAAAAATATCGGGTGAAATTTTTTATAACAAACAAATAAACCTTTGATAACACTAATTTTTATCGTTTTTGTGATTGGTAACTATATTAGCACTTGGCACCTTATCATACCTATATAGGGTTACCAATCACACCCAACTATATAATAAATTTTATCGTTTTTGTGATTGGTAAATATATAAGCGGTATACTTTTTTACCTCATTAATAAGAATTTACTATTCAAAACCAATAATCTAAACAATAATAGATGAAAATAATATTTTAAGGATTTTTTTTTACCAGAAGTCCATAGGTGAACATGTTGAAACCACTGTTTCCAAGTGAAGCGGCGGCGAGTTCGAAGCTTCCGACATGACCGGCGAAGATACGTGTGAGAATCGACATACCGTTGTTGATGACGTAAACAAAGATCGCCGGAGCCGCCAAATGAAAGAGAAACTTCATCTCAATCATCATCGCTAGATAAATCCGGCGAAAATACGGCAATTCTCGATCTGTTAACACAGTCTCGAGACGATAATCGATGAACGATTTCGACGATTCAATCAATGGACGGTGGAGATTTTCTAACGATTCTGTGTTCATTTTTTTGGAGAAGAGAAAATTGAGAGAATTTTTTTTATTGGGAATATCGAAATCTGAGTGTTTTTTTTTTTGGTGTGTGTTGTTTCTATGAGAGTCTCTGCAACTTCGGCAGAGTTATATAATGTGAGTTTTTGCGTGTTATTAATTATTTAATTATTTATTTGACTACCAAAGTACCAATGTTGTTTTTTTAATATATATGGAAATGAAGTAACGAGGAAAGGGTGTTTTACCTGTTTTGCCCTTTGGATTTTTTTGATTTATTTGTTTTTTTTCGTATGATCTGAAATCACACGTAAAATGTGGCCGACCCAAAAAAAAGCCAAAATTATATATTTTCAAAAAAACATTATATGTGTAATATATATTTATTTGTTTTATACGTAATTTTTGACAGAGAATAAAAAAAGAACTTATAATAGATATATAAAGTTTTTGAATGGTAAAAAGTATGCTAAATTTTGTTTATTTGAATATTTAGTTGAGATATAATAAAGTCAGTGAAGATATGTTAAATATTTTATATGTATTTTGAAATTTTTGATTAAGTAACACTCAATAATAATAAATGTTCAAATCTATTAATTGAATATCAAATCAATTGAAATCATCAATTTAATTAACAAACTTCCAAAACTAATCAAATTGACAATAACTTTCTGAAAATTTAAGAACCAATAACTCCTTCTTTTGGTAAGGTTTTGAAAATGAAAGTCGGATTTAAAATGAAAAAATTTAGAATTAGAGAGAAATTTCATAGTGTATATCTTATTTGATATATCACATATGTAGTGATTTTTTTAGTTTTAATTAAACGCTGTTGACAAAAAAAAAAAAAATTATTTAATGATGAATGCTCAATTGGTAGAACTTATAGGGATAAAAATAAAATTAAACCTTGTAGATATCACATTAGTGTAATTTGTAACCAACATATTACTGTTTTTGATCAGATCAGTCATATTATTGTTTTTACTTCTTAATAATATCATGTTATATACAAGCTTCTTAATAATATTGTTTTTACTTCTTAATAATATTAATGCTAAGTTTTGGTGGACCTTTTTTTACAATTTTCAAAAAGTTTTTGTAATAGATAAACTCGAGCACACACAAAAGCTGTAATAAGAGTTAAGTTTTTGGTTAATCACACAATTTAAAGTTGAATAACTTCTTCAACTATTGATGTTTCGAGGTGTATCAGCAAAGAATTCGAGCGGATATCACAAGCATAAGGGTCCAAGGGGAACCCGAGACATGGTCCATATAACAAATGTTGGAAAGTACTCTTTAATGTTTTTGCCAAAATAAAAATTAGAGAAGTTGTGAAATAGGATTAAATAATACTATACGGATTATAACTATTGATAAACACAAAAGTATGATTGATTGATAAATCCATGCTAATTTGTTGTATACTGCGTCATATGTATGTATCTGGCGATATGAAGAAAAAAAAACATGGGGTTCTAAGCTATCAAAATGTTGGAAAGTACTCTTTCATGTTTTTGCCAAAATACAAATTAGAGATGCTGTGAAATAGGGATTAAATAATACTATACGGTATAATCCAACTCATTAAATTCATTAAACCATTTAATCTACTAATCCATTAATATCCAATTTTTCAACTCATTAGATCTATGACTTGGATTGGATTGGATTGATCCATCAATTTCAAACCATTTTGAAACCTCTAACTATACGGATTATATATAACTATTGATAAACACAAAAGTATGACTGATTGATAAATCTATGCTAATTTGTTGTATACGGTCATATTTATGTATCTGACGATATGAAGAAAAAAAACATGGGGATTCTAAGCTATCAAAATGTATTGGCATAATCGTAAATGATCTTGTTTAATGTTCGATATAGTAGTGTGTTGTGCATTTGAAAAATCTAAAGAAGTTACTTGTGACCGAAGATAGTTTTACAAGTGTTTAATTGTTTATGGCGTCTGATTCATCATTACAAAAGAATATTTAATCTATTATAAATAATATCTAATTGATCATATTTAGGTATATAGAACATATGCGATTATGATAAATGATTCCACGAAAACTCTACCACATATATTTTTTCTATAAGACTCGATCTGATTTGTAACTGACGATTCCACTTACACCGTAATCACGATAAATAGTTTTTTTTTTCTCTGCAAATTTCACGATAAATAGTTTTGAACCATAAAACATCAGACCAAGACTGATTGCTTTGTGTTCATGGTTTAGTGTAGAGAACGAAAGGAAAACGGCGGCGATGGAACAACTCTAGGGTTTTAGCACCCGACCATGAGGGATTTTGATCGGAGGTTCCTGATTTGGTTAATTAACGGTTTGAAATGGAACTCCAGTGCGTGGATCTATGGTTTTCGGTTGGTTTTTAGGGTTATTGGGTTGATCTCGGAGAGGTTTGATGATCTTCTACGAGAGCTGAGGAAGGATTTTCGGGTTAATTGGATCTGGTCTAAGGAAGAAGCGGAGGTTTTGAGAGATTTTCAAATCGGATTCAAGGTAACAAGACTGGATCTTGCTCCGAGGAGGGATTTGAAGGTATACGGGTATGCGTTCGTGTATCTTAATAATGGTTTGATTGATTTGTTTCTGTTTGCAATGGCGGATTCGAGAGTATTACTTACGGAGGCAGAGAACAAAGATCAATGGGAGCTGCGATTTGTGGTCTTGAAAATTTCAGGCTTCACGATTGATGTTGTATTGAAATTTTCAGGCTTCATGAGCAGGTGGATTTCGGTTTTTTCTGGTTTTTGGAATGGATTAATAAGGTTGTTTCTTAGATTGGTGAGCGGATTCAATTTGATTGTCTCCTTACGGTTAATCTTTGGTTCCAAATGGATCTCTATTCGGTTGATCTCTGTTTTTCGAGTTGATTTGGTAGATCTTGGGCTGATTACGGAGTTGTCAGATGGTATTAATCTCGGATTTGATTTGGAGTTTTTGAGTACAAGATTCATACGGTTGTCTCAAAGTGATTTTCAGGTTTTTATTTGTTCTCATTATGTTGGAATCAATAATTCTCAAATCTTATGTGTTTTCGATTTCATTTGGGTTATTGTCATATTAATAGATGAAAGGATCGGTCTTTTATCTTGTTTGTATAAAACTTCTGTTTCGGGGTCTATGACCAGATGGTACCGGTTTCATTTAATTTTGCTATATTGGTACTGGACGTGGAAACAAAAATTTGTTAACAATATATGGTTTATGTGGTGGAGTCATATTGTATTTTGGGTATGGAATTTTATAAACACGTCTTTTATTCCTAGAATAGTGTTTTTAAATCATGAAGTAATTATGGTTAGTTTGAGGAATAAAATGAATATGATTCATTTATCGGTTATAGATATGGTCAGGAATAACCCGATGCACCATGGCACGGTGAAGGGTTTAACGGGTGGACGCAACCCACCTAAACCAAAGTTTAATAAATGAAAGTTTTAAGCTGGAATTGTCGAGGCCTCGGGAATAAGGCAACTATTGGTTATCTTCGGGATATTTGGAAACAACACCGGCCAGATTTTTTATTTCTTTCAGAAACAAAACAATCTTCTTTTTTCATGGAAAAATTTATCGGTCATTTTGGTTATAAAAATTTAAAAACGGTTGATCCTATCGGTTGTAGTGGCGGTTTAGCTCTTTATTATAATAATGATTTTAATGTTTCTATTGTTTATGAAAGTAATCGTTTAATTGATGTTAAAGCGGTGGTTAAAGGGAAAACAATACATCTTACTTTCGTTTATGGTGACCCGGTTCCAAAAAATAGAGATCAAGTTTGGGAACGCTTAACGCGGATCGGTTTGACTAGAGACACACCCTGGTTTTTAATTGGTGATTTTAATGAGTTAACCGGAAATCATGAGAAAAGAGGTGGTACTCTAAGACATGCATCTTCGTTTATCCCTTTTAATTTAATGATTCAAAATTGCGGTTTATTGGAATTTCCATATATCGGAGACTGGTTGTCCTGGCGGGGTTGGCGGGATAAAAAACCGATACGGTGCCGATTGGATAGAGCTTTAGCGAATGAAGATTGGCATGAATTATTTTGCAACTCTTTTGTTGAGTATTTACCAATGGTAGCTTCCGATCATTCACCGGTGGTAGCTACGCTTTTGGATAAGATACCACGTGGGAAACGAAGTTTTAGGTTTGATAAGAGATGGATTGGAAAGGAAGGATTACTAGAGGCAATCTCAAATGGTTGGAATTCGGATTCTGAATTAGGAGAAGGAAAATTTGTGGAAAAATTGACTAATTGTAGGCGGGCTATTTCGCAATGGAGGAAAGAATTAACTCCTTATGGGCGGCAAACAATTGAGGAACTTAAATCGGAATTACATGTGGCGCAGAGTGATGACAGAAGATCACGGGAGGAGATTACAGAATTAACATTGCGGTTGAAAGAAGCTTATCGAGATGAGGAATTGTACTGGTATCAAAAAAGTAGGTGCTCTTGGATGCAATTAGGGGATAATAACTCAAAGTACTTTCATGCTCTAACAAAACAGAGACGGGCAAGAAATCGAATTACGGGGTTACATGATGAAAACGGGATTTGGTGTACAGAAGATAAAGATATTCAAAATATAGCGGTTTCTTATTTTAAGGATCTGTTTACTACGACTAAGCCCGAGGCTTTTGAGGAGTCCTTGGTAGAAGTACAAAGTCTGATTACGGATCAGGTTAATAATTTTCTAACGGCACCCGCCACGGAAAGTGAGGTGAGAACAGCTCTGTTTATGATGCATCCGGAAAAATCGCCAGGATCCGATGGTATGACAGCTTTATTTTTTCAAAAGGCTTGGGTTACAATTAAAAAGGATCTTCTTTTTCTGGTTAATTCTTTTTTAGAGGATGGAAATTTCGATAAACGGTTAAATACGACTAACATTTGTCTGATTCCAAAAACGGAAAGACCAACACGGATGACGGAATTAAGACCTATAAGTCTATGCAATGTTGGTTATAAAATTATATCGAAGATTCTTTGTCAAAGACTTAAAACGGTTTTACCAAAGTTGATTTCGGAAACACAATCGGCTTTTGTCGAAGGAC